ACTGTGTGGTGTCAGTAGTTAGTGTACATGCTGGTACTGTGTGGTGTTCTCCAGCAGAGGGAGACAAAGCGGCCGGATCTCTTTTTATGATGTTTAAGGACAGAAGTGAGTGAAAGAGTCACGCACTTCATCCTGAAGTCGTCCTGAGCCAGCTTGGCGTTGTCGACGCTCAGCAGCACCGACCCTCTGACCAGGATGGCGTCCTGGATCTGAAACACATTTAAATACTCTGAAGTGACCAATCAGAAGACAGGACGATGAGGTAAACAAAAGTAAACATTTCAAGATAATCATCTTTTAAAGATAAAAAGAGAAGACTCATATTGTGCGTATGTATGTTTGTGGGTTTTCTGCGACATAAATATTAAATATCCCTCAAAAGAAATGTGATGAGTGTTGCAGATATGAGTGTTTGAGGCGTGGCAGCAGCACCTGGACCTGGACCTGGATCTGGTCCACACAGGTGTGTCGAGCTGCTTGTCTTCACACCTCCTTTCATTACAGAAGTTCATCCCTGAGGGCTGCTCTCCTTTATTCAGGGTGTGGCTCTTTGAGTGATACTCAACCCACAAGGTTTGATTTCATCCTCCAGCTCGTCTCGTAATGATCTCTTGCTTTTGCCCGTTAGTTCACAGAGAAGAACTCACTGTGAATTTATTTAGTGGTTTGTCATCAAGTTTCTTCTTTCTTTTGTTGTTTTCATCATTTACAGAAGTTGAGAGCTGCTACGCTTAAATATCTTTTACCAGAATACTTCTCCCATTATTAGTTCATAACTTTATGAACTCCAGACGAGTGGCTCAATAACCTATAAATAGATATTTCTCATCTTTTCTTTGGTGGTGAGATTTTTAAAAGTCCTTAAAACAGGTTAATAAAACACGACCACCAGCAGAACCCGGAGTACCCGGAGCAGAGCTAAAACAGAACTACAGACGCCACACTGAACACCATCTCCCACGCTGCCCCTCTTCCTCACCTTGCCCTGCAGCTCTGCGATGGTCACGAAGAAGTGGCTGTAGTCTCTGGCGCTCGGGCCGACCTTGCTCTCCACAAACCCCCTGATCTTCAGCTCCAGCTCACCGTTGGACTTCTCCAGCGCCGCCACCTTGGCCAGGTAGGTGGCCAGGCGGTCGTTGAGGTTCTGCATGGCGAACTTCTCGTTGCCGATCGAGTTGCTGCTGTCTGCACCGCCACCACCACCGCCGCCGCCGCCGAAACCTCCTCCGCCACCTGAGCCGAAGCCTCCTAAGCCGAAGCCTCCACCACCACCTGCTCCGCCTCCGAAACCGTAGCCACCGCCACCACCGCCAGAAGAGAAGCTCCTGCTGGCCTGGGAGACCCTGATACCACCACCTATTGCTCCTCCCGACATGCTGTTGGAGCTCATGCCTCCGCCGTAGGAGGATCTCCCAGAGCCGAAGCCGCCCATCGAGGATCTCTGTGAGTACATGGCTATGATGAGAACGATGATGGAGTGACAGAAGAAGAGGTGTGGCTCGTCTTCTCCGGTGGAGGGAGTGGAAGAGGAGAGAAGTAAGAGGAGATGGATCCGTTTGCTTCTTTTAAAGGATCTCAGGTGGGCTGAGCTGCAGGTGAGGGGGCGGGGTCCACAGTCCACAACCCCAGAGATGGAATGGAGCCGAGTACAATAAGTACTGCGTTTTGAGGTACTTGTACTTGCTGTATGTCCAATGCAACTTTTTTTGTGCACCCTTTTCTGCTACTTTATGGTTTGCAGAACTCATTCCTTCACTTTATTTCCGACAGTTCTGCAGGGTCGTCACATTCCACCTGTGCAAGAAGTCAGCTCCATGTTTTTAAAAAGTCACATCGCAGAACTGGTTCTGTCATGTTTTTACTGCAGCTCAGAAATATTACAAAAATTAGATCCATCTCTGACAAACACCCCCACACCTTCGACACCTGCCAGCTTCCTTTCACCACACCAAGCAGTCCTCTCACATCGATCCATCTCATCAACACAGGGGCTCCGCTCAGCTGCAACATTAAAGGATTGCATCAATAATTACACGTGACACTAGTCTATGGACTTGTTGGTCTTGACGTGACACTAGTCTATGGACTTGTTGGTCTTGACTTGACACTAGTCTATGGACTTGTTGGTCTTGACGTGACACTAGTCTATGGACTTGTTGGTCTTGACGTGACACTAG